AAATAAAATCTTTAAAAAAAAAAAAAAATTGTTTTCACAACTAAAAAATGTCAGCATTTACTGATTAGGTCCATAAACCTTTATTAAATGCCTGCAGAGAGTTTAGAGAGCCTGACCACTGATAAGAATTGACTTACGGGGGCGCCTGGGTGGCTCAGTCATTAAGCGTCTGCCTTCGGCTCAGGTCATGATCCCAGGCTCCTGGGATTGAGCCCCGCATCGGGCTCTCTGCTCTGCGGGAAGCCTGCTTCTCCCTCTCCCACTCCCCCTGCTTGTGTTCCCTCTCTCACTGTCTCTCTCTCTCTGTGTCAAACAAATAAACAAACAAATAAAATCTAAAAAAAAAAAAAAAGTTGACTTACAGGTCTTAAGCACAGAATAAAAGGAACTATCAATTTGCACCTATAGGCCCTGCCCCAAGGTAGGGCCAGGGAGAATCAGTGGTCTAGGGGTTTGTTACTGAGACAGAATATACAGCAGAGTTGCATTTGGGTATACCTATTGTGACTTCACCTTCACCTGGAAAATGAGCCTCCTCACCATCTTAAGGTAACTGGTTTTCCATTAAAAAGTGAAATTATTTTCTCTTTCAATCTGTGGCTCCTCAAGAAAGCTCGTGTCATTGTTCTTACCAGCCTTTCTCAGGGGGTCTGTGATGTTCATTTCTAGATAAACTTTCTGGAGACCGGATAAAGCAAGTCATGGAGCACATCTGGAAGCTGCAGGAGTTCTGTAACAGTATGGCGAAGCTGGATATAGACGGCTATGAGTATGCATACCTTAAAGCTATAGTTCTCTTTAGCCCCGGTAAGATATGTGGTGGGGACTCACAACAGTTTTCCATCTGTGTCTGCTAATATTTCTGAACATGAACTTGTCAAGTCATCAGCCAGATTGTTTGTGACCGAATATTCTCCTAATAGGTGTGCTTTGCTAGCTAACATAAACACATTCTTTTAAATTGTTGCCTTTACAGTCCCAAAGATATGCCGTGGTTCCTGGTGACTTCGTATGTTGAATAGATTTATTCTGTATCCTAATTTAGACCACTGGCCAAGTAAGACTTTGGCATACAAAATAGAGTATACTACCATCCAGTGTCCTTTTTTTTTTTTTAATTCATTAGAGACAAGGAGCATGAGCAGGGGGGAGAGGCAGAAGGAGAGGGAGAAGCAGGCTCCCCACCAAGCAGGGAGCCCGACGTGGGGCTCAGTCCCAGGACCCGGAGATCATAACCTGAGCCAAAAGCAGACGCCCAACCATCTGAGCCACCTAGGCGCCCCCTCAGTGTCCTTTTTTGTTTTGTTCTGATTTCTTTTGCTTTCCTTCTTGCCAGTTTTCAGGTTTTGTTAGCATATGTTCTCCAGTACAGACTGAAAGTGCCCAAGTTCAGCTGTCCCTGTAGGGCAGCACCTGAAAAAGCCGACAGGATTGTGCGGCTGGCCTCGCTGCCCCCCTCTCAGCTCTTCTCTCTGAACCTCCAGAGGTCACTCAGGCTGACTGTTGTCCTTAATAGTGGGGTTTGGGCACAGCTTAACCCTCCCTTCCTCCCCAGCCATCCACTCGTGAATGACAAAATAGCTAATATAAATGGGAGAAAGTATGTGATTAAATACATAGGAGGTAAGTGGTAATTTCTAATCTTGGGTGATAGGTCTAAAATCTCTGTTTTCTAGAGTGGTAGGAAGCCAGATGTCCAGATCCAAGCCAGGTGGGGCTGCTGAGGCTGGTGTGACCACTGAGGAGCCCAGCCCCCTCCTGGGAACCTTCAGGCCTTGGCAGGGTACAGAGCAAAAGCCAGTGTTTTAGCAGTAATATCCAAACCAGACCCACCTTCAGGGTTCAATCTATATCGTACTTGAGAAATTGGTCAGGGGTTTAACTAAAAATAAGTACTAAGAAGTCTGCCAAGTGAGGCTTTCCAAATACACAGGGCAATTTGGGGGCACTTTTCTCTTTTCAGATCATCCAGGTTTGACCAGCACAAGCCAGATTGAAAAATTCCAAGAAAAGGCACAGATGGAATTGCAGGACTATGTTCAGAAAACCTACTCAGAAGACACCTACCGGTGAGGCACACAGTACGCGCTCTCGTGGTGGGGCAGGAAGGAGTGCAGCTGCATCTGCAGACATAAATATAAATTGTCAGCCTTCCCGCCCTTGGCAGCCTGGTAGAAGCCTCCTTTTGATCACATTTTAATTCCTGCGTTTCATGGGTGGTAACTGTGGAAAGTGCTAGGTGGTAGGGTCAGGAATCCTAGGCCATTCCAGGGTTGCTGGGTATAAACTGTGGGCAAGACCTTGGGTTGCTCTTCTGTAACATGCTGAGGGGCTGGAATCATTGCTGTGTGGTTTCCTCTGGGACTAACGTGCACGAAGTGGCAGTTCACACACACACACACACACCCCTTTCTCACGCAAATCTGAACAGGAAAGTTGTTCTCAATTAAGGCAGAAGGCCTGCCAGGCTTTCCAGCCAAGGAGTGGAGGAGCTCTTTGATCATGACCACTTCCAGCCCATGAATTACTGAGGCTACATGAATTACTGAGGTCACGTCAGGCAAACTAATATTTCCTTCCCTTCCCTGTCCCCTCAAAGTAAACACTTGATCAAAACTGACCAGGAAGATACATGGCGCCACCGTCCTCAGTTTGTGTCGTCTTCACAGACCTCAGTCCATAGGTGCCCCATGGAATGAAAATGCCCCAGGTCCCAGGAAGACTGTTTCTGTGATGTGACTGGGGGGTGGGGGTGGGGGGCTGGCCCTGCCGGCCCTGCTGGCAGAGAACCTCCTCTGCTTTAGACACAACTCCATGACCAGACACACCTTTTGCCAAAGCGGGATCCATTTTCTCCTGGAATCGCTGAAAACCTCACCATGACTCTTGAGTAGTAATTCCAGCCTCAGTGCACAGGGAACGGGGCCACGGGCCTGCTCCCACACGGTGCCCGTGGTCAGAAGAGCCTGGAAATGGCCCTCCGGGGGCTGCACACTAGAGGCATTGTGGCCTTGGAAAGGAGGGGTTTCTGAAGAAATCCAGCCAGGGACCCAGCCAAGCGATTTGGGACCCTTTCTCATGGGACGCAGAAACTCACTCAGAGACAGTTCTCAAAACAAGGCCCTAGGATCGCTGACCTCTTTTTCTGCATTCATTATTTTACTTTTTCTCATCTCTGTGCCTTTTCTCGTACTGTTTGCTCCTCCTGAAATACCCTCCCATTCTTCCCCACTGTTTACATCTCTGCTGAGAGAAACCTCAGCCAGCCTCTAAAGCCCAGCTGATCTCTCTCATGCCACCCCACCTCCCCCAGGCAGTCCTCCCTGATTTACCTTTGCTGACTTCCCGAGATCCTCAGCCTGTCAGCCCCTCGTGGTCTATGCTGGTGTCCCCTTATACCTTTGTATGTCCTGTAAGACTCATGGTGGCTAGACGAATGGCGGATGGTGCTGGAATGCTACTTGCATAATACATATATTCTCTTTTAAAAAATAACAATGTTTACTATAGAAAAAAATGAGAACATTCTGGAAAGTGAAAACGTCCATATAAATACCACCTTTCGTAGATACCTGTTAATGTTTTATGCATTTCCTTCCAGAAATTTTTTATATTTGTGTAATTGGAATCATAAAATACAAAGTAAGGTTTTGTAACCCTTTTTTCATTTAATGTTCAACTGAGCATACTTCATCTTTTGTGGCTAAGGAGATGCTGTAATTTCTTTAACACTTCCCCACTGATGAGAATGTAGGTTGTTTCCAGACCGGGCTGGCCCCTCAGTGAGCATCTGTGCAGTGGCGGGGAACGCCAGTCACATGCTCCAGATACAGCGGCAGTGGCCCACCACGACAGGGTCACGGTGTACCCTGCCATCCAGGGTGTTTTCAAACTGAAGACAGTCTTTTGCTTTATTTTTAGTTATGATGCTGTACGAACACTGGGAATTAGGGGAGTGCAGGAATACAGAAGTTTAATAAGTAAAAGCACTCCAAATCCCCAAACCCAGAGGCCAGCCCTTCACATTTTGGTGAACATCCTTCCGAATACTTTTGTATGCACGTCACACAAATAAATCTACGCCAGTGAGACTGCACTGTACTTGCTGCTTCCCAGTCTGCTTTTATTCAGCTATATGTCATGGACTGCTTTCCTTACCAGTGACAGATCTTTTTTGTACTTTTTAGTGAGTATATCGTGATCTTTTATATGGAGACACACCATACCTTTTTTTAACTTATCCTTTATTGATTTCCAAATTTTTCTTTTTTGGTGGGGGTGGGGACAATGGTTAAAAATGAAGGAAACATTTGTACAGACGTCTTTGTACTTAGTTTTGATTTTTTTTCTTCATGATAAATCCCTACAAGAGGAACTGTTGAAATTTGAAATACAGGGGGTAGATCATAGGTCTGTTTGTTTGGTTTAATTCCAAGCAGTGCAGACAGGGTCCCAGGAGCCTGTCCAGGGAGAAGTCTGAAGGGCAGTGAATCCCCTTTCTCTAACTAAGGACCCTCCCTTTCACAGATTGGCCCGGATTCTTGTTCGCCTGCCGGCACTCAGGCTGATGAGCTCCAACATAACAGAAGAACTTTTTTTCACTGGTCTCATTGGCAATGTGTCGATAGACAGCATAATCCCCTACATCCTCAAGATGGAGACAGCAGAGTACAATGGCCAGATCACCGGAGCCAGCTTATAGTGCGTACCGCACACCTGCAGAGAAGCAAAAGGATCCTCCCAGGACCACTCGGATACAGAGAAAATAAAGTAGTGGTATTTTGGTATGTGCAACTATTTCCAGTATGTTAGCCATTTCCTACCTGGTTTCTTCTTATCTGTTAATCCCAGACAATAGCAACTAAAAGACTAGTAGGATCCTTTCCTGCCATAAGAAATGTTATAATGCCTTTTGATGAAGGAGATTTTGAAACAATCTTTTAACCCAATTTGTATTTAGAAATCCTCAAAGGGCAAAAAACAGAGTTTTATAATGTCAGAGACTAGTATTAAACAAAACAAAAAGAACCTAAGAGAACAGTATGTGTGTATATATATTAAAAATGTCCTTGGAATTAATAGCTACTAATTACCAGGGTAATAATATTAGCACTTTCTAAGCACTTCTTATCAATGCGTAATGTTAGCAACATCTTGCCCTTGGGCAGGACAAATGGAAAACTGTATATGTCTTTTGCCGAAATGCTAGTAATTTCTGTGAAAACGCACTAGGGTACAGGAGACAATCATTTATGTTTAAGAAAAGATGGCATCATTCCTAACTGTATGCACACACTTGTGGTGTTGAACTAAATTCCTATGAACGAATGAAAATGTGGCTCATCTGTATGATGCAGTAAGCGGGAGTGTGGAGGCACAGTCGGGGGTGACCCAAACCGGAAGCTTCCTCAGCTGTGAGGGTGATGATGCTTGTCAGCTTCCCTGACCTCTGGTTCTGGTCTGTGACTGGCATCTGCAGGCTCCTCCAAACCTGGGGCTCTCTTCTGATGACTGGTTCTCAGAATTGGATTACAACCAGTCAGACATTAACTGCCAATTCCTGCAGTAACTGAAAACATCCCCACATCACCTCCACCACTCACGGCAGACAGAGCCTTCTGACCAAAAAGTGCAAGGTGGGCATTTTGAACCCGACAGTAATTCCTGAATGCAGTCTGGGGCGCTGGCTCGTTGTTCAGACGGAGGAGTGCAAAGGTTCCCTTCTCATGGGGTTTCCATTCCAAACATCCCCTCAAGAAGGGCTGTATTCCTGCAGTTCACTCAGAACTGTGAAGGGGATTCGGGGCCTGGGGGTGGGGGGAGGTGCAGGATTTTGCTGCCTGGCCAGGGTGGTGGTGGTGGTGTGGCTGAATGGAAGGTTTCTCTGTTGACCTTAACTATCAGGGTTTTCCAAAGTGTCTCCAGACTCAGCATTTCTGTTGGCAATTTTTTGAATGGTACTGGTACACCATGCACTTTGATTCCCCCAGGTGTGTGCCAGCAAAGAACCCTGGAGCATTTTAGGTGATGGATGCAGAAGCAAGCTACCTGCTCTTAAAAAAAAAAAAAAACAACAAAAAACAAAACAAAAAAAACCTTAACTCCCAAAGTTATCTTCTTTCTCTTAAGTTATAGCAACCATCGTTTACAAGAACAGAATGCAGTTATAAGGAAGTTCTATCTAGAGAAGAGCACCCATAAATTCTCATGGATGCAAGCAGCGGGCATGTCCTGCTTGGGAAAAGTGCCGTGTCCAAGACCCAGTCAGGTACTCTTCATTTCCTTTCTGTATAGCCCAGATTAAGAAAATAGCTAAAGTTAAATCTGTGTCTCCCATATCTTTTGATCAGATGATATCCAGAAAGATCCCAGTGCGCTTCCCCTGCCTCACAGGCACTCCCCAGCCTGGCTCAGGCCCTCGTCGAGGTGGGGTCTTGGGTGCTGTGTAGGTACCCAGCCTGCCGGCCGCTGCCTTATGACAGAACAGAATGCTCTTGAAGCATTAGCAGCACTTTGTGAAAGTCGTTAGTGGGAATTAAGTGTGGGGACAGTATCTCCAACTTCTGAATTCCTATTTGGATTTAATTATATTATTTATAGTTCATGTCTTGGAAGCAAATTTTGGAGACAATAGGGGAGCGCGTTATAAAATGATGGAAAGAATTTAATTTTGCCTGCTTATTAAATTTTTGGTTTTCTAACTTGGAAGTGATTTAAATTTCAAAATTAAGGGGAAAAAAAAAAAAACTAGCCAAGACAGTGAAGTTAGGGCAGGTCTGTTTCATTTCTGCTCATGAAGGATTTTAGCAGAGGGTATCTGCAACCGTGTTTATGCATCTTACACAGCAAGTTGCCTCTTTTCTGTTCTTTTGGTTTTTTAATGTAAGCATGTCTGTTGATCACATAGCTGTTCTCTGGGATTACATGCTATGTCACATCTCCCAGATCTGATTCTCGGTGTTGGGGAAAAGGCCCACCCCTTCTTCCTGGGGGTGGCCCTGGGAGTCTTGTGTCCATTCGGCTTGTAGACTCAGGTGGCCTTCAGATACTGGGACGGCTTAGCCAAGACCTCGACTGAGGTCCCAACGACGCCACTGCTGAAGGGTTTTGGGATAGAAGTGATAACCAGCAGAAAAACCGAACATTTGGGTGAGTGAGTGCCACACCCTGGCAGGCCAGCCCTGGAGAAAAATCAATTTGGCTTAGAGGGTTGTTGATTCTGACCTGGTCCTGGTCCTTGGGTCCCTTCACTGATGGTGGCTGATTGCAGTGGACCATTTTGGGCCTTGAACATCATTAGTTTCCCAGATCCTCTTGGCCTTATTTTGAAGTAGACTTCCCTAAAGATATGTTCACACAAGCTGATTTCTTGCTGCCCCAAATCATTTCACACTTTGACAGCAGGTCCGTCCCGTCTTGTCAGATTGGCTAAGAGAAGCCCAAAGTCAAGAACTTAAAGGGATCCCAAGCAAATACTGAGGTTCAGCTTTCACAAGTCTTTTACCTCTTTTGTTAGTAGTCTGTCAAAGTCTAGATTTAGTTAAGGAAGGCCAGCCCTCTACCCATTGGGTCTCTGACGGAAATAAGCCAGGAGCAGATTCTTCACCACACAGCCTGCCCACATGTCCCTTCTGCTGTCCTGGCTCTTCCTCCCTTGCGAGAGGAGGTGGCAGTACGCATCGTGCTTCTTGATGCCAGTGGTATCTCAGATAATGCTAGACGGTTAGGTGTTGAAATTGTGGAGGTCATGACAGAGAATCATAAAGGACAGGAAGAGACTTAGAAAAAGTCCAAATTACACAAGCAAATGATACTTTCCAGGTTATTCCACCCTTCTAATTTGAGATTTGTATGTGTGTCTGTTGGGAGGTTACCATTATTTATTATCTAACTTCTGCCATGAGGCTGTGGTTGGGGTTCTTTGTTGTTTGGGTTTTTATATTTAATGTCAGGTGTAGTCACTTGTTGTAAGATGTTACGTAAATGCCCTCAAGAGGGACTGCTGTCTAGCTTGTCAGTATTAAATGTGGACTGTGTTCTGAGGCAGTTGCCACCAGCCACGGTGAGCGCGACGGATGCGCCTTCTCTTGGGCTCCCTGATGCGGTGGCCACACACTCACTAGAGGACACGGTTGTGGCCGTAGTACAGACTTACTCAGTGCTTTTGCTTGTGTTGGGGATAATCACAGCAGGGAGCTAAGAATCGGAAGGGCTAGATCTAGTGCTTTTATTCTGGACAAAAACCACATCCTGATCCTTTGGGGGAATTTCTAGTAGAGCAGTCTTGCCCCCAGCCTGCCCTCTGCCTGACACGCAGCCCTTGGCTATGGAGCCAAGTTTCAGGACCCGATCAGATCAGAGTCCAGAAGCTTGTAGCCCACTTGCCGGTGGAAAGGGCCTCATGTGCAGTGGGGCTGTAGATGACATTTCAACTCTTCTCTAAGTCTAGGCCATGAAAAGTCATCTCCTGACGTTCACTTTCATCCCGGCTATGAATGAACGGGGGGATAGTGGAGCAGGCCGGGCAGATGCCCATATGCTTCCTTTGTCCCACTTCCAGTTTCTAGATTGTACGGCTCTTTGAAATGTCTTAACTTTGATGTAAATTTGTAAAGCCAAGCCCTAATCGAGATAGACTGGGTTTGGGTCTTTTGTACACAGGGTTTTGGACATCCTCACGTGTGCCTCCTGCCGGTGCACACTTGCGCGTGTCCAGCCCTGGGGTCCCTTCAGCGGCATCGTGCGTGTACAGATTTATAGGCTTGTATGACTGAATGAATGTACATGTGTTTATATCTTCTATATATGTACAGTGTATATAGTGTGTGTATGTGTACATAGATGTATATATTATGTATACAGACATGTAGCCATGTATCCAAAGTTCCCTTATGTTTTAAAGAGAGTCTATGATAGAGTTGCTAAAGTAAATTGATGTGGATGTTCCAAGGTCCCTCAGCAGGATGGATTTGCTGATATTTTAACTCCATTTTCCTTTGGGTGAGCCTGGCTGGGAAAGGCCATGAAGGCAGATACTCCACCCTATGCCAAGGAAAGTTCCAGACAGAAAAGGTCCTGATAGGAGGACACTGCTGTATATTGTATATTCTCTGGGTCAGACAGCGGCCAGAAAGCTAGAAAGTTGAAAACTAGGTGGGGATCTTTCACCTGGGTGCCGCATGCCTGTTTATAGCCCGACTGGAAGGAACTTGGCAGTTGGAGCTGTCGGCCTTCCCAGACTTGCTCTGTCATGTGGTCCAGAGATCAGCCTCACGGTCAGAGATTCGGAACGGTCCATGTGCTGGGGCCTGCCTCCCAGGTCTCTGCTTGCTCTGGACTTAGCAAACAGCGGGCACTGCCCTGTGGCTCAACAGATGCCCATCTCTAATGCCAGTTGAAAAAAACCTACCAAGTAGTCTTTTAAAATAAGCATAAGATAACTTATGGCACAGAAGTTACAAATTTTAAATTCTTTAACTGTAGCATGTGAATAAAATCCACTGACCTAAATCCTTTCTATAAATTGTTTTAAAATTTTTAGATAAAAATGTTATTTTAATATGGCTATTTGTGCCCTTAAAGCTACAGATGCCAAATTTTTCTTGTCCAGGTCTGTTCTGATTAATTTTCCCCCTTAATTGGGCTTTAAACTGAGACATGGCACTCGGGAGCCAGGGCCCAAGCCCAGCAGAGCTGCTTACAGACCTGGGAAGTGGGGCCTGCCTGGCCAAGGGCCGCAAGCTGGCCCGCTGAAGGGAGTCCCTGGAGAACTGCAAAAACTCACATAATCCACAGGTTTTCTGGTTTTTTGTTGGTGGTGTTTTTTGGGTTTTTTGGGTTGGTTTGTTTGTTTTTTTTTAAATAAGCTACTGAAATGTTTGAAAACACTTCATTGAGACCATAGTACTCAGTGCCTTTTGTGAGACGGTGGGTCATTTAGCCTTCAGCTTCCCCTCTATTGGATGTAAAACAAAAAAAAACAACAACTCTGCTACTTCACTGGCCTCATCCAACAGTGCTTATTTGACCCTTGCCCCTGTCCTTGCCTGTTGTGACAATCACACTATTGAAGGTGGCTTTCCAGTTAAAATACGAGAAGAAGCTTGACAGTCTCTAAATGAATCTTCAAAATAAAAATTTTCATTTGGGGAGGGTATTTTAACAGCAATCTAAGAATAATTAAACTTTGAACTTAAAAAGAGTATCTTAGGGGTGGGGAAATGCCTGAGATATTTTTAAGGCCCAGCTAGACTTTCAGTTCAGAAACCAATAATCCGGTGTCTCAATATTTCTACATACAGCATAGAAAAAAATGCTATAAATATTGGGGGAAAAAAGTTTGGCAACATTTATCAGCTGACATACTGTGATAGCTTAATATTTGGATAACATTTGGAAATAGTAGACTTTTATGTTACAAATGGCTTGTCTTTAGGAACATATACTCAATTACCATTAACGACCAGAGCATCCATGGACTCAGATGCTGCCGCCACATACAACTCAAGTGCTGGAATATTTTTCTACAGTCTCTGTTCTCCCCATTCTCTTGTAAACCAGTGTTCAACTAGTTTTATAACTGAAAAGCTGCACATTTTTCATAGTACAAACCATAGTTTTTACCTGTAGTTTGGACCTGTTAATTAAAAGACATCTGTTAAAGGAAAATTCGGGTGTTAATTTCTTGGGACCGTTTCTGTAACTTCTGCCCTTCATAATATAGAAAATACTGTTATGCCGTTACATTTTAATTCCAGGTTTAAAACCTGTTGAAAGCTGTAGCTTGAAATCAGCTTTGTTTATGTGATGGCATTTAAAAAAGAGCATGTTCTTTTTAAACTGAATTTTATATCTAATCAATGTCTTCAGTCTTGAAGAAGAATTTGCATTGTTGTGTTTGTATATAGAGTATTGCAGTGCATGAATTAGCTTTATGCATTTTATTAAATGCTGTTTCAATGTGGCATTATCGTTGTGGCTTAATACTACTACCTAAATGAGGTTTATACTATTAAAAAAGTGAATTAAAGACTAAATGTGCATCTTCTCATTTCTTCTAATAGTAATAGCAGCAATGCCCGATCCCCAGGGGCTCCGTGCTGTCTCACCCCAAGCAGGTGGTGAGGAAGCAGCCTGTGGTCAGAGCCCTACAGCTTTCACCTCCCCTTAGTCTCAGCCAGAGTCCACGTGCTGGCCCACTGGCCTTGTAAACGCCTTTAGTGGGAAAGGTATGGCCTTTTTCACTGGGGCCGTTCCTCAGTGTGGAGGTCAAAAAGCCAGGCAGCTGGTTCCGGAGCAGAGCACCCGTGGGCTGCCGGACCCCACAGGCTGTCGGCATGGATGCGCCAGAGCCAGGCTGCAAAAACCAGCATGTGCTTCCTGTAAGGGTAACGACTATCCAGAATAAAAGCGTGGTCTTCCAGCTGTAGAAGTTGGAAAGCACTTGCTCGGTATGTCACGTGACTTCTCATTTTACTGGTGAGGATTCTGAGGTGCAAAGTCAGATTCCTGGCAGAACCCCCCCAGCAACCAGACAGCTTTAAATGGCCCTGCCAGGTCGTACTCAAAATGAAATCAGTCACTTCAGGAGAACAAGGTCTAAAACCATGCATCGTTTGTGCAAAGAAAAAAACATAACTCCTCATAGCGATTTTTCCCTCCCGTTTCCGTAAATTTTAAACCCATCTTATCATTACTAAACCGCGGCGGAAATAGAAGACAAAGGTTTAAAGAGAGAACCGTGCCCCCTAGTGGTGCTTATTTCAAGTCTCTGTAAAGAGAGGGGCGGCACTGTCCCATCAGGCACTAGATGCTTCTCTCCAAAGAGGGCTCGCTATCCAGGTCAGCAACCTTTCTGGGGCCCCCCATTGGGCTATGGATGGAAGGGGTACTTCCCAAACGCTGGCTCACTTGCTATGCACACAGACCAAAGGGAACAGACTCTTTCTGAAAAGCCCCAGCGGCTGGTGGGAAAACCACGGCTGCGGTCACCTGGGAGCGGTTATTAGAAACCAGACAGAGGATTAGAATGGAGGACAGATGGGACGCCTGGGTGGCTCAGTCGGTTGAGCGGCTGCCTTCGGCCCAGGTCATGATCCCAGGGTCCTGGGATCGAGTCCCATATCGGGCTCCTTGCTCAGTGGGGAGCCTGCTTCTCCCTCTCTCTCCCTCTGCTTGTGCTCTGTCAAATAAATGAAATCTTTAAAAAAAAAAAAAAGAATGGAGGACAGATTTCTCTGCTCACCCTCCAAAATTGTAAAAGGGGGCAGGGTGCCCTGTGGTGCGGACTTGCGATTAGACACACAACCCTGGTGAGCCTGCAGCCATCCCCCGCACGCACGCACGCACCAGCCATGACCCGTGAACACCAGTCAGATGCAAAATCACAGAAAACCACAACCTGAGCATCAAATGTAAAAGAAGCCAAACCCCTCCCAATGTAATGGGCTGACCCCCAGCATTTATATAAAACCTTCTGGTTCCACATCCTTTCCCATGGCAGTCTACCTCCTGACCTCCCCCTGCTCCTTTCAGCCCCATTGGGCAGCTGCTTCCCGCAGGGCAGTCTCCATGTCCGCCTCCACGGCTCCCCGGGCCAGCTGGTCCCTCACTTCTGACCAGCTAAACCGTAAGGCAGCCAACCCTTGAGGGCTCTGGTGTTGCCTGAGGGCTGAAAGCGGCAAGTAACCGCAGGATCCATGTCCTGTGAGGGAAGAACTAGGCGGGCCCTCCGTAAGCCCTCACCCCCTCTTCCAAACCTTACAAAGTAAGGCCTGAATGAGCAAGAGGGCAGCCTCCAATACCAGCCCTCCGAGCAGGGCCCTGAAGTCTCAGCCAGCCCGCCCCTCTGCCTGTCCCCCGTCCTGGTCTGCAAACCTGTGACCGGGCCCTGGGGCCGGGGAGGCGGCTGGCAGAGGGCGCACACCGGAGGGGGGCTGGTCTGTGCCCGTCTCGGGGCCTCCTGCACCGCCGGCAGCCAGGCCTCCGGGAGGAGAGTGGGTTGGCTTCAGCAGTTGAAAGGGGAGCGCTGACACAAGGCTTGCCCTGGGAGTTCTGAAGAAGCCCGAAGAGCCTGAGCGGAGGGGGACTTCCACGTTGCCAACCACCCAGCTCCAGCCAGATCCTACCAGATCCAACCCCAGCAGCTCCTACCTCTCCAGAGCAGGGCCTGGAAGAAGAATCGAAGCCAAGAGAGACGAGGAAAGGGCGGCAGGACCGACCCAGGGATGTCAGCAGGCTGTGGCCTCAGACCTTCCCCAGCCCCACGCGGGCCTTTCTCCCGTGCCCACCGGACCAGACACACATCACCATGCCGGGGACCAGGACACATTTTATTGACCTGATAGAGCGGAGATACTCCCCCGACCCTGCCACGTCCTTTCACACAGGTGTGCAAAAGGGGACCCTCTCACGGCAAAGAGATCTTTCAGAGTCCCGCCAGGGACAGAACCAGGGGCTTCCCTGGGTGTGGCCTGGGGCCTCAGTCCTGGGTGCTGGCCTTCAGCATTGCTTTGTACTTCCCTGTCAGCTCCTTGGGTAAGGGCACCAGGCCCGGGCAGGGCACCTGCCCTTCCACCTCGCAGATACACTCCCGCAGGCAGTACTTTCGGGGCCCAAAGTGGGCTGGGTGAGATAGCTGCTTTTTCTCCTGCTCCTCCTCCTCCAGGGTTTCCCTGCCGAAGAGCACAGAGAGCAACAGGTGTGGGAACAGCGCTCTGAGCCTCTAGGCAGCGTGGGACTTCTTGGCCAAGTGCACCCCACCAGCGGCCAGGGAGACCTGGCTCTCCCGTGCCTCTCAGCCTGCTCCCCGACCCCGACCCCAAAGTCTGCCGGCCCTCCCCCACAGGCCTCCCAGGTCACCCGGCCCACGCAGGCCCACACAGGCCCACACAGCAGCGGTCAGCCTCCCTCCGGCCCAGGGGCAGCCCCAGCTCTGAGGCAGCACAAGGCCAGGGGGAGGGGCCTGCAAAGGCCTCTGTGCGCTTCCTCCAAGACGCACTTTCTTGGCTTCCTTCCCCTTCCTCTTTCCATCCACATAAAGAGAAAGGACGAATCCCCAACACATACCGGGGTTAGACACCCACCAGCTCTAAGGAGAGATTCTTACGGACAGGTGGCTGCAACCGCCCAGGCAAGTGTTTCCACAGCACCTCAGCTTCCCGTGGAGCCGAGGAGGCAGGGCGGTCTCCGACCCCACCTCCCAGCGGAGGGAGGGAGAGCTCACACAGGCTCGGTGACTTACAGCCCCACAGCTGGGGATCTGGGGAGCCGCAAGGCCCCACGGGACGGCCTCTGCAGCCCATGAGCTCCGGCTGGTGCGCACCCTCCTGGCGCTCCTTTTCTCCCTCCCTCCGTGCTGAGACATTTGCTCCCCTCCAGGTCAGGCCCAGCAACTCACTTGTTCTTCCCTAGGATTTTCCTGATGTGCTCCATGATCTCCTTATTGCTCTTGGTCTCCACATCCACGAGGACCTGCTCCCCAGAATCTGGAAATGGGAAGCAAAGGGGACAAAAAGTGCTAAGGATTGGGCAGCACGCTCCTCAGCCTCAAGTCACGGTGACCAGTTTGCTTTTAGTGGTGAAGCATTTTAACAATAAGATAAATATGTTTGTCTACATAACCCATAATGATACCCTTCTTTTTTCCGTATTTCTTTAAACATGAGCAAAACTGAGGTATGTACAAAAGCATACTATTTACTTACTTTTATTTATTTATTTGAGAGAAAGCACACACACAAGCAGGGAGGGGCAGAGGGAGAGGGAGAAGCAGACTCCCGCTGAGCAGGGAGCCCAATGCGGAGCTCGATCCCAGGACCCTGAGATCATAACCTGAGCTGAAGGCAGACGCTTCACCGACTGAGCCACCCAGGCACCCCATAAAGCATACTATTTTAATGGAAAGCAATTTTCCAT